ACTAACTTTTCTCTTTCCCAGTCCCCAGAACCTACTGACATCAAGGTGCAGGTATAGTATACTCATTTAATTTCTCCTGTTACACATTTATTCACTCATCTGCTTGAAGAAATGTAATTTAAGAGATTATCCCCATCCTTCAAGCTTATGAAAATGATTTTTAAAGGATCTGGAGCAGACTATGTCATGGATAACAGAAGCCACTCTGAAAAGCCTGAGGAAAACAGTCATTTAATTTACTGGCCAGTAAAGGATAGCTCAAAAAAAAAAAACCCAATCCAGTTTTGCCCTCCTGCCACGTGGTCTTCACTGCCAACCTCCACTTCACTACCAGCCATGTTGGTTGTTTCATGGCTTGCTCCAATGAACTCACTCACATTCCAAGGACCAGCAACCAGATTCCAGACACGACCATCTTAAACCAGCTTAATTCCTGCCTGAGACATTGTCTGGGGGTTGTTGGTTGGATTTTTGTGCCTACCCTTTCCCTTTTTTCCCCCTTTAAAGAATTGCACATCAATTCACTGTAAACACCAAGAACAGAAAAAAAAAGAAGTCCTAAGACCACTGGGACAGCCTTCCATAAAACAAAGCAAAAGAGACTGGATTATTCTGTCTTACCAGGACATACAAAATAGATACATGGTGTGAAACCTGGCAAGAGAGTGCAGGAAGTACAGATGGATTTCCAGGCATCGCTCACCTCTGGAAGCATTAGAGCTGAAATACTCATGTGTAAGAACAGTTTGTTGGTTGGGACCAATCCCTGTCCCACTGTAAGGGTCTGATGGACCTTGTCTAGAACTGAATTGTTGCTCTGAAAGGCAGCCAGCTACCAGCAAACCAAACCAGCAGGAAAATAAAAGTCTGCTGAATTTTAGCTGAATTTAAAGCAGAAAAGAAACGAGGGAGGTGCAAACCCACTTGCAGTTTACAGCGACTGCTGATCCAGGAGCCTGTTGAGTCAGTTTGACATTTCTACAGACCATTCAGCACCCAACAATCTCACAGCCTCTAAAGCTGTGTCACATACAGAGCTCTAGAGGGCACCAGCAGCTCAAAATCCACATTGCAAAGCCAGTAGTGCTGGAAATGCTGCATTCAGAGGCAATGGTTAATATATATGTGTGTTTATCAGTATGTTTAACTCTCCAAGCAGAACAAGATGCTCTCAAGTGGCAAAATATTTCTTACCTGTGATTCCACAGCAAACACTTGGCCTTGTTTAAGTAATAAATCTTCTTTTCCTAGATTTGGAAAGCAAACAGCATTTAGTCTCTGTTTAACACCAGTAACAATCATAAGGACTAAAATTTTCCCTCCTAGTTTTGGGGTGTTCAGTGGGACTGTGCCAGGCTGCAGGTTGGTGTTCAAGTACTTGGTATCAGAATAATTTTGGTTGGAAGAGACCTTTAAATTCGTGGAGTCCAACCCTTCCCCAGCACTGCCAGGTCCCCACTGCCCCGCGTCCCTCACACCACATCTCCACGGCTTGGAAACCCCTCCAGGGGTGGGGACTCCATGGACAGTCTGGACAAGCTCCTCCCCTAAGGGAAAAATACCCTGAGTACACCAGGCTGGGCAAACTGCTCTGCAGAACAGCCACCCTGAGCTGGCTGCATGCCTGCACATGAACACACCAGGGAAGAGCATCTCCTTCTGCTCCAAATAAGTGATCCTTGCTGACAGGCAGCAAACAGCTCACGACAGATTAGCTAACATTTTAAGCTACAAAAAGAGCAAGACAGGCAGGTAACCAAGTTAGATGCCAAAAGCTTCAGTTTCTGGAAATGGAATAATTTCTGATAGAAGTATAAACCAGGGTCTTGTGGTTAAAGCCACCTTCAAACCTTCTTGCACTCAAGCTTTCCCAACCACCATAGTTTTGTTGTCATGAGCTAGACAGGGGTGTTGTTTAAGATGGGAAGAATGGGAAGGGGAAGACTCAATGAGGAGCACACACCTTGCCCAGCTTGTTTTGCATGTTGTTGGAGGATGTAGCAGAGTGACAATGCACATTTCACAGGACTGGTCACTCGTAAGCCAGTCCCATCACCAGTGCCCTACACCCACATACAGACAACTGCACCCAGCTGACTGCATTCCAGGGTCTGAAGTGTGGGGACACACAGAGTTAAGACCAATAAAAGGAAGAGAAGACAGGAAAAAACTTCACCTATGTATTCTAACAGTCCATATGTGGCAAGTTGGAAGAATGAAGTGTACTTACTATTACCAAAGTTACTTCCAGGTCCCACAAAATCACCCTAAAAGCAAACAGCAAGAAAAAAAAAAAAAGCTGAAAAATCAGCTCAAGTTTTTACTATATGCTAAGCTGGGGATTGAAGGGCAGGGAAAGCTTTTACAGCAAGATAATAATTTAAGGACTTTCAAAAGCTTAAGATTGCTTAAGAATTTACTACTGTAAATATCAATTGCTATATGACATTTTCAAAGCAATAAGCTTACTTCATAATATTTGAGTTTAGCTTTGAGAGCTTCAATAGTTCTTAAGCTTTCTTCCTGCTGTTTTTCCTTGGTAGCTAGGATCTTCTTCAACTCATCCTTCTGAAAGAGAAAGAGTGCCAAATAGCCAAAGCCACAAGAACAGACAGATTTATAAGATCTCAAGCAACTTCGAGAGTTTAGGGCAAACTTCAATCAAAAATCAGCACTAGAAAGAATCCCCAAATTTTTTGATTCTGAAGTTCTGCCACAACACTGCTCCTCTACAAAAGGAGTCCTGAAGAATGAGTCAAAGGAATATGAACCAACAATTTTCTATTCACTTTTTCACATTTATTAGTCTTGAATTACTGAAAGTCACAAAAGAGATGCTGAAAATATTATGGCCCCTGCTTTAAAGGGGGCATAGGGATTAGATATATTATTTATGGTAACAGAAATGCTGGGCAGCAGGGGTAGGTATCAGCTGAGATTTCATTTAGCATTTCAAGAGGGCTTTTCTTTTCTTTAGAGTTCTAAATACCATGACTTAGAGCAACAGCCTCCTCCCCTGTTCCATAGCTCTATGACACTGTAAGGTGATATATCCTACCTCATTTTCAAGATCATCTGCAAACATTTGCTCCTGCAAAAATAACAAAAAAAAAATCCCCCTACAAATCATTTTTTTTTCAATATATGAACACAGTTTATCAGCTGACAAGTCTACCCCAGCCTCTAATGCTACATGCTTCTGACTGTTCCCCCTTCACTCCCCAGCTAGGCAAGAGAGATGAGAGACAAACAGAAGTCAAAGGTGTCTGACAGAGCAACATCTCACCATGAGGAGATTGGAATCTCTTAGCAACTCTCTAGACTGCACACTACTGAGGCAGAAAGGTGCAGTTTTGCAACAGAAGTTTGCTGATTTTGGAAAGTATGAAGGAATTTGTCTGTGGGTTTTGTTTGCTTTATAAAGGCACTGTTTAAGAGAGAAGTTCAGACCAGCCAGTGATCCCAAGAAGAAACATTCCCATTATCCACGTGTCACATTTAGGGGAAGCTGCATAGAGTGTTTAAAAGTACAAAAACACAGTGAAGTAACCAATGTGAGCCTCCACCAACCAACCCTGGGGTTTGGGTTTATTTCCTCATCTGTACTGGTCAAACCGAGACCTCTAAAACGAGGGAAGCTTTTTTTTTTTTAAAAAAAAAAAGCTTAAGTGTTTCAGATTTGGGTGAGAAATTCCTTACTGATAACCTTTGGCTTTGCCAATTGAAGCTTTTTCTCTGTGTTTCCACTTACAGTGACAGCTGGAAGAGAAGCAGGGGCTGTGATAAAGTACTGACACACACCACCTACATTTAATTGTGCAGATGAAATTTAGTCCCCAGATAACAACATGCTGGAGCATTTATCAAGTATAGCCATAAATGTTACTGCACAAATTCAGGACTATTAGTGAATGATGTCTCAGGTCTCCTCACATTTTGAATATTCTTACAGGACCAAAGGCTTTTTCAGCAGTGGAAAGTGATTAGATAGAAATAATTCAGAGGAAAGCAATGAAAACTGCATCCTAATTACAGGTGCTTTCCTTCCTACTTCTGCCAGCCTCCACTGGCACCATCAGGTCCTTATCACAGCCTCCAAGTCAGGTTGTCTCACCACCAGGTTCACCTCATTCAGCTGCAGTTGTAGCCCACTGATTCTATCCAGCAGCATCCTCTGCTCCTCTTGCACTTCTCTCATTCGATCTTTCAGATCTTGATTCTCTAACTCCAGTTCCTTAAAAAATAATAAATAAATACAGATTAAACCCCACAGCACCACACTAGGGAAACCAGAGAATCTGAACTAATGGTTTTAACAGCCATTGAGGACACCAAGCCTTGCCTAACAAGTCCCCTCATGATTCTGGGGCTCTCCTGGAGGTCTGCCTCATTCTCAAGGTTTACCCAAGAGCAAGCTCCACACTCTCCAAGCTTTCCAGCTCTAAATAGCTCATTCTTGACTAAGTGCACACACAGGTTTGGGGCAGAGTAAGATGATGTTCAGTGCTGATGCACTCATGACACAGCTGATCTGCTGTCTGTTAACAGGTGAAAATAACCCATGTTAAACCAGCTCCTGAAACCCAAGCACTGCAGCCAAAGGTGCAGTGGAGGAGCCTCACCAGCACAGAGCACAGCAGCCTCTGAACAGACTCACTGTCCCAGCAGCCACAGGAGTCACCCTGGTACCACCTCAGGAATCCAGCACGTGGCAGGACAAGTCTTTGTACTGGCCATCAGGCCAGGGCTCATGTGCAACCAACACCATGTTTAACTCTTGCCTGATAATCACTGCCTTACCTGTGGTGACCACTGTAGCTTGGAGAATCATAGAATCATTAAGGTTGGACCTCTAAGATCATCAAGTCCAGCCATCAACCATGACCACGTCCTCAAGTGCCACATCTACATGTTTTTTGAACACCTCCAGGGGTGGGGACTCCACCACTGCCCTGGGCAGCCTGGCACAGCCCTGGGCAACCCTCCAGGGGAACAAATTGTTCCTCAGGGACAACCTCAGCCTCCCCTGGGGCAACTTGAGCCCATTTCCTCTTGTCCTGTCATTTGTTCCTTGGGAGAAGAGACCAACCCCCACCTGGCTCCAACCTCCTTTCAGGGAATTGTAGAGAGCAATAAGGTCTCCCCTGAGCCTCCTCTTCTCCAGACTAACCAACCCCAGTTCCCTCAGCTGCTCCTCATAAGGAGAAGTTGCATTTGGAGATCTTTATTACAAAGCATTGCATAATGAAGGCCCTAATTTTTCAGTGGTTTGTTCCCTGTAGTTTAAAACACTGTTTACCTTTTTGAAAACTGTAATGACATAGTAACAAGATGAGGAAATTAATACTAATTAGTAGAACACACGTTCTACTATGTTCTAACTGTACCATTATGTACAGTTATATAGGTTGGTTTTAATAAGACACTTAAATATCTCTCTTGAAACTGTTAATATATATATAGATAGATCTTCCTGGTTTCACAGAACCATAGAATGGGTTTGGGTTGGAAGGGACCTTTAAAGGTCATCTAGTCCAACACCAGTTGTGACCCTCTGATTTTACTGTAGGCAGAAGCAGTAGACAGAAGGTGAAGAGAAGGGCAAGTTTAAGACATGAAGAGACTTGCAACTATTTGTTACACAAATATTGTTTTTCCTGAAAATGTTTACAGCTTATCTGCATGATCTCCACCTCGCAGTCATGCAATTAAGTTTTACGTAAATGACTTCTCTTAATGGAATGGCTAATGGTTGTTTTACAAGCACATCTTGTTGGTGGTTGCCTGGTTCCTCACCTGGAGGGAAGAGGCTGGTCACAGAAACTCCTCCCACTTACCTGAGCACTCTGTTCCTTCTGATACAGCTTCACGTTCACCTCCTCCTGCCCGTGCAGCCGATTCCACCTCTGGGACACGTTTGTCACCTGCCAGCACAACAGTGAAGTGTTAACTTGTACTCCTGTTGAGTTCTGCTCTCAGCCCCCGTTTCAGCTTCCACTGGGGGGCAATCCTACCAGCGTTCACATTTGGCCAGACTGCTTCTCAGTAAGAGGTCACTCATGATCTCATCTGGATGAGATCCCACCAAAGGGAACGCTTCTCACAGCTCTAATCCTCAATATGCCCATCATCAAATATTTGTCAGACAGGAAGAGCCACACCATCTGATTACAGAGGGAATCTTCTCAGCTACGTATGAGGTGAAGAATTCAGTAAATACTCAACTAATTTTGCATCACAGCACAATCTTAATCACTCTCTCAATACCAGAGATATGCTGCTTTAGGAGATCAACAGTAAAAGCAACTTTACCTTTTGTTCAGGCTGTCCTTTCCTCATGGTATCTCTTGCTAAAAAAGCACCACAAAAGTAGAAAGTTTAAAAAAAATGCATTTCATTCAGACTCAGGCAACACATTCAGCTAATTCCATCTACTTTCAGTCTTGGGAGGAAATGTTAAGAAGCAAAATTTGCCACCACCCCAGTTAATCAAATATGGAAACATCCACAAGCACAAAGTTTTTCTATAAATAAAGCTAAATAACTCCTCTGATCATACTGCAATATATCAAGGCATCAGAGCCCACATTTACCTTAAAAGCTCTACTAAAGCCAGACAAGCTCCAAAAGCCTTCCTTCCCCTCCCAAACAGTTTATCACCTTTTTATTCAAAGGTCTCCAGCTGCCCTCCAGGAAACACATCCTGAAGGCACAGCAGTGGGCAGACACACAATCCAAAAGAGAGAATCACAGTAAACAGTTAAAGCCACGTCCTCCATACCTTTTGTGGAATCCTCAGCAGCAGCTTTGATTAAAGCCAAGATGTCAATACTGTCCCCAATTCTGGCATAGTAAGCACAGTCGTGGCCAAGGCCATCAGTCAAAGCGACATCCGCGCCGTTCCTGAGCAGAACTTCCACTGCATCCTTGCAGCCATATTCACAGCCCAGCATCAAGGCAGTCCTGAGGAGAAGAAAGACAGGACTCAGAGACTCGGGGGTCTCATGCTTCAATGGAGCCATCACCTGCAGAAATAATCCTTCCTGCACGTGTGTCTCATGGCCATAACATGAGTCAAGGAGTCCTTCCCCTATCAAAAGGGGAAACTCAGCTTTTAAAAGTCATTTAGTCAGTGTTTAAGTATTTGTGAAATACCATAACAGCAGCATTGTCATGAAACCCAGCACAAACTTTCTGCCTTTGAGAGCCACCCAGTGTGAGCTTTCACCCAGTGTGAAAGCTCCTATGACTTGGGCTTTTTCTCCATTTAGATACAAATCTCAGCAGATACAACAAACACAAGAGGAGAAGTTTAGACAAAGTTGGGGAGAAGTGCTTGGGAGCCCTGGTGATGCCTTCCAAACACTCGCCAGCTCCACAACATGTCACACAAGGACCTGTGCTTTGTCCCACAGGAGCCTCTTGCTTGTTGGCCACCAGGTAGTCAGCCTCCAGGAAACAACAGGCAAAACTGCAGCTACAAATAGAACACTCCTCCCTGAGCCCCAACCAAAGCAAACTTTTCAAGGCCTTTAGGTCCCTTCAGAGCTCCAATGGGACTCAAGTACTTCTTGACCAAGCACCACTTTCACCATGACCCATTCTGTGTGTTGATCCCAAGGGGTACAAGATGCAGCTTTGGATAGCCAAGCCCTTCAGACAACCAGCTGCACTTTCTTTGCTGGCAGTAACAAGCCTGTATGCAGTTTAGATGCAAGAACAAGCAACAAAAAAGACCACACTTACCTGCATATTATGGAACTGGGACATCTACCTCTGAACTAAATCCCAGGTTCTTTTCCATTGAATTTAGAATAAATATATTCTGGAGCCTGAAAGCCAAGGGAGAGCTTTCTCCCCTTTAAACATCAGCAGGCATTCCAGCAACCCTCTGTGTGCATTACCTGTTTTGTTTGTCCCTGGCATTAACATCTGCTCCTCTGTCTATCAGCAGCTGACAAACGGTGGGACGACACATCTGAGTGGCCAGCACTAGCGGTGTCCTCCCATCCTGAAGAGAGGGAGGGGGAAAGAAATGAGGAAGGGGAGAGGAGGCAAAGAAAGCACAGACCTCCAGTAGGGTTTGTGCAGGAGAGTGCTACAAGCTGCAACTTACTCCATCTTTTGAGTTCACTGAGGCCCCGTGGTCACACAGGAGTTGTATGCTAGAGGAACAGTCTGACATAGCTTCCAAGAGAAAGAAAAGAGCAAGTTACACTGCTGAAATCTGCCATCATGACACCCCAAACACCTCCTTGGGCAAGCTTGTTTCACAAAAATTCATGCAACTCAAAGCATGACAGAGCTCTCACACAACCATCTCAAAAGCACATGAAAGAAATCAAACACTACTGCTTGAGACATGCACAGTGAGGGGACAGAACACAGAGTGAAGGTACCTCAGCCTACTAATGTCACTGCTCTAGAGCTCTGCCCATGACACTTGCTTTTCACCAAACAATTCATGGGCATCAGAAGGGACTTTCAGCCCTATAACCTCTGCTAAGGCCATTAATGAGCTTGTTGTTAAGGACAAATGTGGTGGCAACGTAAAACATTTCCTCCTACTACAGCCACCAAAATGAAGAGAGAAAAATTTGGCCCATTTGAAAATTGACTCTAGATTACACACCACAATCACCAGATAAGCAAAACCTTTTACCTGCATCATGAAGAGCAGTTCTTCCCTGAAGATCCACGTTCTCTGTTGGACAATTGTACTGTTAAAATAATTAACCCCAGTTATCAATCGGGACTCAGGCTGCACTTACAAAACATGAAATGTTTTGAGGTTTGAATTAAAGCAATTAAAAATATGATTGAAGAAAAAAAAAATTGGCATTTGTAGTTTACAAATACAGTGAGAGAGCTGAAAGGAAGAGCTAAGGGTACATGCACTGCAGTGCTCTAAACACACTGATCAGAAGTTGCACAATTAATACCATGCAATGAAAACGTGCAATTCATTTGCTCCTGGATGCAAACTTATTCAGAAAGGGAGAACTCAGAGACACCTCAAGAGCCACTCAGCTCCATTTGCTTTAAGAGGTAAAATCTACAACTTGATTTGTCTTTATGAAGAGACAAAACAAATGTTTATTTTATTTCAGCACTCTTTCAGCCACAACCTGTTATTTAATCTGAAAGGGTCTTTTCCCCCCATGACTCTCCTGCTTTTAAAAGGAATGTAACTATAAAAAGAGAGGAGTTGTATATCCCAAATTTGAATCGCTCTATTTAAAAGCACATTTTTCTTCTCAAGAATAAATACTGAAACAAACAACAAGTTTTGTTTTTCAGTACCTGCAACAGCTTCTGCAAACACAAAGCGTGTCCGTACTTGGCCGCCAGGTGCAAGGCGTTCCTGCCTGCAAGGAGAGACCAAACCTGTCTGTACAATGCCACACAGACCCTGAGACACCTCTCCTGCTGCCCAGGAAGTCTACTGCTAATCACAGAATCCTTCTGCTTGGAAGAGACCTTTCAGATTGAGTCCAGCTGTTCCCCCAGCACTGCCAGGTCCCCACTGCCCCGTGTCCCTCACACCACATCTCCACGGCTTGGAAACCCCTCCAGGGGTGGGGACTCCACCACTGCCCTGGGCAGCCTGGCACAGCCCTGGGCAACCCTCCAGGGGAACAAATTGTTCCTCAGGACCGACCTCAACCTCCCCTGGGGCAGCTTGAGGCCCTTTCCTCTTGTCCTGTCCCTTGTTCCCTGGGAGCAGAGCCTGACCCCCACCTGGCTCCAGGCTCCTGTCAGGAGCTGTGCAGAGCCAGAAGGTCTCCCCTGAGCCTCCTTTGCTCCAGGCTCAGCACCCCCAGCTCCCTCAGCTGCTCCTCCCCACACTTGGCCTCTAGACCCTTCCCCAGCAGCTCCGTTGCCCTTCTCTGGTCACGCTCCAGCCCCTCAAGGACCACCTTGGATTGAGGGGCCCAAAACTGACCCCAGGATTTGAGGGGTGGTCTTCCCAGTGCCAAGTCTAAGGGATCAAGCCCTGCCCTAATCCTGCTGGCCACACTAGTGCTGACACAAGGCAGGATGCTGGTGGCCTTCTTGGACACCTGGGCACATGCTGCCTCATCTCCACCTGACTCTCAACCAACACCCCAGGTTCTTTTCCAACAATCACTTTCCAGCCACTCTGCCCCAGCCTGTGGCATTGCAGGTAATCACACAACACTCATATGGAGTTAGTCTGTGCTTCACTAAAGCACTAGCAGAGTTTATTTCCTCTGTAGAAAAACAGTCATCTTCCTCCTCCATGATTCTGTATGCTTCAGTACTGCTCATCATGAGTTAGATGTATGAAATGTTACGATAGGCACCTGTCATTAAACTGATTTCATGACCAGGGACAGTTCAGATCAACATTCACATCAGTTTAGATACCAGTCCCTGTCCCCACCTCAGTTCTGTCACTGTTCTCACTAAGTCATCTCTTCTGTATTTACTTCACAACTTGCTGCAGTCTTTATTTTAGAGAAACTACAACCAAAGCTTCAGGTTCATTAATGAAATTAGTCTCAAAACACTCCCCATAAGCATTTAAAAGAAATCATCTGTCAAATGAAGGAGGAGGGTAGGTTATTCCTTTAATGAAGCTGAAAACAAGGGAATACTCCTCAGCCATGTTCAACTTGGGGATAAAGAATCTGAGGCAAAACTAGCACCCATTTTTAACTCCACAAACTGACATCCTGCTTGCAAATTCAGAAGGTTGTGCAGATGTGTTCTGAATGTCTGTGGGCTCAGTATGGGTGCATGAACCCCCATCATTTACCTCCAATCCTCACTGCACAAAGGATCCAGAAAGGAGGATCTATCCTGTAGCCCAGCATGATTCTACTCCAAAATAAAGACCAAGCTGAGAACTTTTGCAGGTTGCACTTGGAGGTTTGGACACCTACCTGCAGCATCAGTGGCTGTGATATCAGCTCCATGAATAAGGAAGGTGTTCAAGCAATCCAGGTTTCCCTTTGATGCCACAACATGAAATCTAAAACCAGAAAACACCTTGCTTAAACATCACTTGTTTATACACAACGATGACAAGATTAGCCAGGGAAGCCAAAGCCAACACCTGTACACTGAAGGAATCACACAGCACAAAGCCAGCACTCACAGCCAGCTCAGGACTTTAAGAAACAAGATTACTTTCTTGAGAAAAAAATCACCATTTACCTTTAAATAGCAAACCAGGTGAAAAAACATCCTGCTTGCCATGTCTCTTGACTACTCAAGCCTGGCAAGAGCAAGTATTTAAACACAGACCTTCACTTTGAAGTGAAGATTGAGAATTTCACATTCTAGCTCAGATGATGTTAGAATTTCACAGGATACATGACACAGATTTATGTATTAAAAAAAAAAAAAGAGGCTTTAGAGCAGCAGAAAGATTTAGGAATTGAGGAACCTCCAGCAGCTTCCAACCACCATTACTGGAGTCCTGGAAGTGACTTACGCAGATCTCCCCTCCACGTCCAGTTTAGTAGGACTGACTCCTTTTTTGGCAAGGATGGATGAAACCTTCTCCACATCTCCCCTTTCTGCTGCTTTCATTAACCTGTCATCGTATTTGTTCCAGTCTGGGTTCAGCTGTGCAAGAGAATTGGAAAAAGCAAGTGAGCTTCTGCTACCCTATCCATCTACCACTTCCACTAAAGGCCGAATCACACACAACTGCAGGGATACAACAAAAAATATCTTGGTTTGCAGCTAGGGTTGTACCTGTTAAGATATTTAGAGTTATTTCTGTATAAATTCACTGCAGCATTTCAGTCAGGCTGTTCATGTGGAACATGTGGTGCTCCGAGGCAAGCTGGTAAAGTCACTCTGATCCTAAAGGTCTCCTATGGTTTTCCACCAACCTTTTTGGTTTTCCTCACTCTGCTTTGTTCTAATCCACCGCTGATTTTTCAGGTTGGCAGTGACGAGATTATTGCAAGAAATGTAAGGGCAGTGAAGAGGGACTTTAGGGCCCTGGGACAGCTGGTTAGGGGGTCTGGAGTGCAAGTAGTGTTTGCCTCCTTACCTCCTGCTAGAATGGGTGTAGAGGTAAATAGGAAGAGTCTACAGGTCAACGAATGGCTACGAGACTGGTGCCAAAGGCAGGGCTTTGGATTCTTTGGTCATGGGCTGCTATATGAGGCACCTGGCCTGATGAAGGCAGGTGGGATGCACCTGTCCCAGAGGGGGAGGCGGCTTTTGGGGCAGGACTTTCAGCTGCAGTCTCACACCTACAGTCCTTAGTCCTCATGGGAGAT